TACAAGCAGTTTGTTGTACAACTTTGTATTCATATGAAAAGTTTTGTAACTGTAATTGCTATTAATGTAAAGCATTGGAAATTAATGTAATCAACCACAAACGTTAACAAAATAAAAATAAAAAATTAACATTTGTAAACTTTTGTAATCGGGGTTTTTATGCGGGTAACAGTCTATGATTTGTAATTTATTGTAAACTGCATTTTTACTGTTATAGTAACTTATTTCAAAGGATTCAAATAAGGCATTCTAAACTTTGAAGAATTTAGTAATTTTGGTAATTACATTTACTACAATTACATTCTTGGAATTTATTAAACAGATGTTTAGTTTGTCTTCTTGTTTATTGTAAAGCTTTGTAATCGGCCGTAAACGTTTGTAATTTAATTCCAATATTAAAAAAAGTACAAAAAGTTTGTAATTCATTGATGTACATTCTGTATTCATATGTAAAGTTTTGTAATTATTGTAATTGCTATTAATGTAAAATATTTGAAATTATTGTAATTAACCACAAATGTTAACAAAATAAGACTTTGGTGATATTTTTTTATAAACATTAAAAATTGACAATTGCAAACTTTTGTAATCGAGGTTTTTATGCAGGTAACAGTTTATGATTTGTAATTTATTGTGAACTGCATTGTTACTGTTATAGTAAGTTCTTTCAAAGGCTTTAAATAAGGCATTCTAGACTTTTAAAAATTTAGTAATTTCGATAATTACATACAATTACATTCTTGGAATTGATCAAATAGATGTTTAGTTTGTCTTCCAATTACAAGGCTTTATAATAGTAAAGTTTTGTAATCGGCCGTAAACGTTTGTAATTTAATTCCAAAATTGAGAAAAGTACAAGCAGTTTGTAATCCCATGTTGTACAACTCTGGAATCATATGTAAAGTTTTGTAATTGTAATTGCTGTTAATGTAAAGCATTGGAAATTAATGTAATCAACCATAAACATTAACAAAATAAAACTTTGGTGATATTTTAATAAAAATAAAAAATTAACAATTATAAACTTTTGTAATCGAAGTTTTTATGCGGGTAACAGTCTATAATTTGTAATTTATTGTAAACTGCATTCTTAGTGTTATGGTAAGTTATTTCAAAGGCTTCAAATAAGGCATTCTAGACTTTTAAAAATTTAGTCATTTCGGTAATTACATTTACCACAATTACATTCTTGGAATTTATCAAATAGATGTTTAGTTGAACTTCCAGTTTTTGTAAAGCTTTGTAATCGGCCGTAAACGTTTGTAATTTAATTCCAAAATTGAGAAAAGTACAAGCAGTTTGTAAATTATTGTTGTACAACTCTGTAATCATATGTAAAGTTTTGTAATTGTAATTGTCATTAATGTAAAACATTGGAAATTAATCTAATCAACCACAAACGTTAACAAAATAAAACTTTGGTGATATTTTATTTTATTTTTAACATTAAAAATTAACAATGATAACAGTCTTTGATTCGTAATTTATTGTAAACTGTTAAAGCAACTTATTTCAAAGGCTTAAAATAAGGCATTCTAATCTTTTAAGAATTTAGTAATTTCGATAATTACATTTACTACAATTACAAATACTAATAAGCAGTCAATATCTGACTAATTGGCGTTTTTGTCATAAATGAATTTGTAAACAGTTTGTAATGTGTTGTAAACTTTTGTAATTACTAAAATTTCTAAATAAACTTCTGATTTGAATTGTAGAAATTTGTAATAACTTCACTTTTGTGTCACTTCTGTGCTTTTGTGACTTTGTAATTTTAAATTGCTTGCAATTCATAATATTTATTTTAACGCAAGTTTTTAACGCAACTTTCTTAATTTCTTGTTTACCCTAAATAAGCATTCGCAATTATCAAGCCTAATTAATCTAAACTTATTGTTGTCACGAGAAAACCCTCAATTTTCACAATAATTACTCTCCTTTTGTTGATTTTCTCTCACAAAGACGTTCATAGTTCCTCTCTGAAATTTTATTTCATTCGTGTATGTAATCCTTTCTGAAAAAGTCACCAAAGTCGCAATGAAAGCCTCGAATCTTCCATTCCAAAGAGGAATTATCCAGATTTGTAATGGCTTTCCGCCATCGAAAAATCACATTTTCCCGATTGAATCGGGTTTGTTTTCGTACCAGTGTGTGCAACTGTTTAATGTTTGTTAAATTTCTCTACGATGGAAATAATAAAAGGCCGACTTTGGTTACCACCTCGCTTCATCGCTCTCTTCCTGCAAGAAGGCGCAACAAAATCAATATGGTTTCAGTGTGGTACGTCGCAAAAGGGGCGGTGCCGATTGTTACGACTATATTTAAAACAGCAGTGATGAAAAAAAAGTTATTTGATCGCGATCCGGGTTTTATAGAACAAACTGTTGATTTTTTATTGTGCTGCGAAGACGACCAATTCCCAAATTTGTCACAATTATGTGAAATTACAAAATAGAAAAACTTTTTATCAGTTATTGGTGATTTAAATCCATTTCAAGGTCACAGAAAAGACGGTTTTTGACCGAAGATCCATTAAAGTAGATTTTAAAATTTTAAAAAAATCTGTGATAAATTGAAAAACAGCTTACTAAGATTGTTTTATTTTTTTGAAGTTTAATTCTAAATTATTTTTTCGGCTAAACAAAGAACAGAATCTTTATTTTGAAACTTGATTTTTCTATAAAATTTGCTAACAAATTGATTTGTTTTTGTTTCAAATTTGTACAATTATTAGCAACGCCGTTAATCACTTTTAAAATATGGTTAAATTAATTACAATGTTTAGTGATTCAAATCAATTTCAAGGTCACAAGAAGAAAAAAAGTTAAATCCAATTAATGTTAATCCAACTAATGGTTCTGAACCCTTTGCTGAACAAATTGATGTTTGGTTTAAGTCTCTGCAACCAATAATAACACCACAAATCACTTTTAAACTTTTCCGAATAAAATCAAAATTTTTCGAACAAAATTTGCAAAAAATTTTGTTTAAGATAAATGTTCTCATACGGAATCTCAAAGAATTATCAGAGGAACCTGATGTACCAACGAAGTAAAAAAAGCAATTGAAAAGGGTTACAAAATAATAACTATTGATGAAGTTTGGCATTTTTACGAAAAATCATCAAATTTATTTAAAGGATATGTGAAAGCGTTTATGAAAATGAAATTAGAAACAAGCCCTTGGCAGGATGATTTTGAATCAGAAGAAGAATATAGAAAAGCTGTAAAAGAAAATCTAGGTATTGAATTGGGTAAAATAGAAAATAACCCTGGAAAGAGGGCTGTTGCGAAAATATTCCTTATGGGGTAAATTTGGGCAAAGACAAAATATGGGTGCAACAGAATATGTTACAGATGTTAAAAGGTTTTATGAAAATTTATTAGGCGAGAAACTTGATAATATACGTATAAACGATATAAATGAAAATATGTTACAAATTGATTATAAGCTAAAAGATTGCTATATAGAAAACGATTTCAATACCAATATATTTATAGCTGCTTTTACAACTGCAAACGCAAGACTAAAATTATACAAAATGTTAGATAAATTAGGAAAAAGCGTAGCATATTATGATACAGATAGTATTGTATATACAGAGTGAATATAAAGTATGGAACCAAGCGGTTTTATTTTTAATCATTTGCCTCCAGAAAAAAATAATTAGTATAAAGTAAAGTAATATAAAAAATGTGATCGTATTTTCAGAACGAAATTTTGTTTTGTTTTTGAGTTATACGATTTTTTTTGTCAAAATTGCAATTAATGTAAAAAAAAAATTGAAAAAATTAAATATAAAGTAGCTAGTTGTAATCCTTTGAGTATAGCTTTTATGAGAAAAATGATTTTATAGTGGGTTGCCATTTAAAAAAATATTTTTTTTTGTAGAACTCAAAAACAAAAGGAAATTTCGAAAAATTTTATTCTTGTTAAATCATCACATTTTTATAGTACTTTATCACTCATCAATTAGTTTTTTCAAAAAATAAATAGTTTAAGCAAAAAACGTTTGGTTCCATACTTTTATTTTAGAAAACTTTGATACAATACCGTTTGGATATTAATTCTTTTCGTTGTTAATTAACAATGAATAATTTATTGTACAGAGTGGTTATAAATAATTTTCATCTAGCCAGCTTTGAAATTTTTTTGCATGTAACTTTATTTGTGCCGCTCTACTTTCTTGAAAGCTCTAGTTCTGTCATTATTTTCGAAATAGACGCTTAGTAAACGGCGATTTTTTAATTTTGAGTTAAAACAAGTAGGTACCTCTATTTTCGTAAAGCGGCATTTTTTATTTTACATGGAAAATTCACAGCTGGCTAGATGAAAATCATTTATAACCACTCTGTATAATGTAAATGGAAAAATTTATTAAATAAATTGGCTCTCTGGACTGACTTCATAATAGTTTTGGAATAGTAGGAAAAACAATTGACCAATAATGAAATAGGAACACTATAATGAATTAATACTTGCCATTTATGCAACGAGTTATACATCCAGCTGGAAGCCAATCTGAGTTTGCTCGCTGTCAGTGATGCCAATTTTTCAATTTTTTTTTGATAATCTAGGGATTTTTTACATTTTAGGTAACTAAAAGCCGTTTGCGTTTTTCGCATTGCCAAGTTTACTAATTATTGCAGTTCATTTAATGTTTTAGACGAATATTTAAAATTTATGAAATCCCATAATTTATAAGTATAAATAAAAATTAAGTAGGTATCTAAATATGCACGTTTATTTGAATTTGTTTTAATTGACTTGTATTTAATTTTTTTATTTCTTGAGTAAAATTTATTTTAATTTATTGTTAAGTTATTTATTGATTTTTTGTTGTTTCTAGTTAACACATTTTTACGTTGTATTTATATTATATTACTCAACAAAATAGGCCTATAAAATAGTACCTTTTTAATTTTTTAACTAGTTTAGGGAATTCTAGGGAATTTAGAAGCTACAATCTAGGGACAAGCGCTTAATCTAATCTGGCAACACTGGTTTGCTCGCTGTTTGATCTGTGGAGTTTGCGCAGCGTGATGCTTAAGGCTGTAACCTCACATTTTTAGCACATATTCCCTGTTTGTGGGTCGTGAAAGAATGGCAAAAGGTAAGAGCATATCAACCAGCAAAAGTAAATTTGAACCGAAATATTTTAGCAATTTTTGGTCACATACATTGCCCAGGTAACGACAATGATATGGCGGATGCGGCAGCAAGGCAGGCAGCAGCCCTTGATCTGTTTAAGAGACAATGCCTTTTAGCGGCTAGTGTGGAGGAAGTTGTTGGCATTAGAGGCAGAGGACGAAACAAATGTAAATGGAGAGTGAGATATACCAGAAATACGAATACAGGATATCTCCAGATGGATGGCGAACAACTGGCGTTGGATATTATGAATAGGAAGCCGAACAATACGGAGATTGTTGAAAAATTCAGATGTCTATATCCCCCATTCATAGAACTAACTTACTCTTGCAGATGTAGATGCAATGTATCCCGAACATCAAGTATGCCAATTAAAAGATGTGATTCTGTTGTTAATTTAAAGGTGGAGGAGAATTTGGCTAATTTAAAGAAGGAGGATCTCCAAGAATAAGGGCTCATTTCATAATCAATTTACCAATTGATGCTTAGAATGCTATTATGTGAATTTAATGTTATATGAACTATTACATCCTAGCCGTAAGTTAGTAAACAGAAATGGACAGAATTGGCTTTTTTTTGTATGTATAGAGTGACGTTAATATTCTAGGTACCTAATACAAGTGTTAGGGTCAATTTTTTATTTCAGGGAACCTGTGGCTGTAATTGAATAAATTGAATAAAGATAAATATTTGTTGAAATATGTATTAGATATTCATTTGTATTGTAGATTTTTTAATTTATACCGGGTGGGGCATCGGTTACGCGCACTTGATAAATCGCAACTTCAAATTAATTAAAACTGGCGATATTTCATATACCTAACTAATTATTGATAGGGTATAATTTGAGAATTTTTCTCATTTTTTTGGATAATAAATGAGTCCGTAACAGTTTTGTGTGTTTTATGAATACTTTCTGTTAATTTACCTATAAAGTTTTTCCACTAAATGAATCTGTGCCTGTCAGCGCATCAAACTTTGTTATCACAATTTCAAATTTTGACTTGGTTAGCCAAATAATCGCTTTTTTTATTTAAACACAAACCAGATCCGTGATTTATGACAAAATGGTATAATTTGCCAACAAAAGAATCATTTATTGGTAGCCGACCGCTTTAAAGTGTCTTTTTGTTGTAAACCTTGGAATCGTACCCCAATTGCAGTTCCCCATTGTCATCTAAATTTACGATGGCACAAGTAGCAGGTCATAAATAAAAATGATTTTCAAAGTTAAGATGGAAAATTGCGTTTAATTCAAAATCTAATTGGTATTTTTTTTCTGATTTTGTAAACAATTGTAGGAAGTGAATCTGCGTAGGTCAGTATGAAAATTAGAATTAAACTTTTTGGGAGAAAATTACTTTTTATTTTTTTGGCTTTGTTTGTGAATGAAAAATTACCAAAAAATTAGAGAATGTACCTTAATAATGCCCAGGTAAGTATGAAAAAATTCAACAATTTTATTTAATTAGAAGTGGGGATTTTTTTTTTGGACGTAACGGATGCCGCACACAGTATACCTACTTTAAAAACAGGGGTGTGATGAATCTACTTCGCTTATGAGGACTTGCCCGAATTTTAACTTTAAAACAAAAGTACCTTGAAGAACGGGGTTCTAAAAGGACCTTATATGTTTAGTTTTTTTATGAAAATTTTATTCAATGAGTTGATTTCTAGAATCATTAAATTTGTGCTGAACAGACCCACCTACATGAGTTTGTATAGCATGCTTTCTAACTTATAGAAACAGGGCAAAATCTTTGAAAAATGTTAAGTTTAAAATATACCTTAAAATCGGGGGTGTTTTCACAATTTTTTCTGCTTTTCAGTTTACTCTTGAAAATCGGGGTGTTTTTACGATTTTTTTTGCTTTTCTGTTAACCCTTGAAAATCGGGGTGGTTTGCTTAAAAAGTAGCTGTTTTTTAAAGGGGCCTTCTTACTACTAAGATTGTTTTACTTTTTTTAAGTTTAATTTTTGAAAATTATTTTCTATTTTTGGATAAACAAAGAACATAATCTTTAGTTTGAAACTTGATTCTTGTATGAAATTTACTGACAAATCGATTCGTCTTTGTTTTAAATTTGCAGAATCACTAGAAAGGTTTTTACTTATTTTTAAAATTTGGTGAATCAATTAGTGACTCAAATCAATTTCAATGTCACAGAAAAGATAAAATTTTGAATCCAATTTTTGATTTTAATATAGAACCTTTTGCTGAACAAGCTGATTTTTGGTTTAAGTTTCTACAACCAATAACCACAAGTCACTTTTAAACTTTTCCGAATCAAATTAAAAATATTCGAAAAAAAATGCAAAAAATTTAGTTTGAAATTTTAATATTATCTGACTGTAAGTCAATAAAGCAGATGTTGAGGTTTTGACATATTCTGTGAAAGGTTGAAAATAGCGGACTAATATTGTTTAACTTTTTTTTTAAGTTTAATTTTTGAAAATTATTTTAGTTTCTTGGCTAAACTTCATTTTTCTATAAAATTTATTGACAAATCGATTCGTTTTCGTTTTAAATTTGGAGAATTAATAATTACTTTTAAAATGTCGTGAATCAATTTAGTGATTCAAACCAATTTCAAGGTCACAGAAAATATAAAATTTTGAATTTAATGAATGGTTCTAATGCAGAATTTTTTGCTGATGAAACCGATGTTGTGTCAAGTCTTTGCAACCAATAATAACACTACAAATTACTTTTAAAACAGTACGAATCAAAATAAAAATTTTCTTTTTCTAAAAATTTTTTTAAAGAATTTTGTTTAAAATTTTAATATTATCTGACCATGAATCATTATAGTAGAGAATAAAACTTTAAAAAATTGTGTGATAACTTGAATCACAGCTTATCACGATTATTTTACTTTTTTTTTTAAGTTTAATTATTGTTTATTTTATTCTAGTTTCTCGTCTAAACGAAAGACAGCATCTTTAATTTGAAACTTAATTCTTGTATGAAATCTACTGACAAATTGATTCGTTTTTGTTTCAGATTTGTAGCAATGCCATTAATCACTTTTAAAATTTTGTTGAATCAGTTATAATATTTAGTGATTTAAATTAATTTTAAGGTCATGGAGAAAAAAGCAAATTTAAAAGATCTCTCTCTCTCTTACAATACAATAAAGTTATATAATTCTTCTCATTTGTTTAAAGAAAAACTTTCAATGAACAATTTTCGCTAAATGATAAAAATACATTTTTTGTACTTCTAGTTTTATACTTTTGCTTTTTGTTATTTTCTTATTGTTTTTAATTCCTGTTATACTTAAGTAGTTTTTCGTAATTTTAGTTAAACTGTATTGCAATTTTTCATTTTTCTTTTTTTCTTTTTGTTTTCTTTAGGGGGTTAGACTTCGCCTCCCGAGTTGTATTTACTTGTACTTACAATTCAATAAAGCCGCTATATTTTTATTATTATTATATAAAATAAAATTTTGATTCTAATGAATGATCGAATGCAGAATTTTTCGCCGAATAAATTGGTGTTTGGTTCAAGTCTCTGCGACGAATAACAACGCCACAAATCACTTTTAAACTAATTCGAATCCGAATCGAAATTTATTTAAAACCTGTTTTCGAGCCATGAAGCATGTCTATACCTTTCTTTTCCAGCCGTGGTATAAATATTTCATTTTCCGAAGTCTCCCAATTCTTTATCTAAGCCATACATCTTATTTCGCTTTATTAAAATCAATATTTACATGCATGCGACCGGCAAAAAAACACATTTGGCTCCCCCAAAGGCCCTGAAGAGGTTTAATGTAAACACATCGATGGCGAAAAAAGTACACAATCGAATCGATCGAGTGGTAATCAGCATCTCAGCGAGTTTAACGCTTGTTGGAAGAGTGTCTTTATCTCGAGACCGGATCGCCGAATGGCTTACTCGGCATGTGAGGGTCGAAATTTTCACGAAAATGCCGTTTCTATTTCCGGGTGTAATTTCCGGCGGACGGAAATTGCCCAATAATTAAACGATGTCGCCGCGCAAATATACAGTATGATGAAAAAAAGGCGCCCGTGTTAACCCACACGTTATAAGTGATCTTTTATTAAAGACGAATTCGAAGACCAAAATTGGATTTGTGCTCTTACACAAGGCGACAAAAATAAAGTCATGTCGTGACAACTTGACAAATTTTATATCATTTTGTTCGTCTCAGTAAGACAAATCAAATGCACTAAAAAAAATTTCAAATATTCCACACACTTTGAACTAATTAATTTTTTTCTAATTTAAATGAATTTAAAATATTTTAACTTTAAAAAATCATTACTCAATAACTATTAGGCCTATTTCTTTCAAATAAAAACCATTCTAAAGGGAAGGTTTTGCCCTTTAAGATGATATGAAATTTGAAATTAAATCTTGGCAAACTTTTCTTCGAACAGTGTTCGAAAAAGTTCGAAGTAAAACCCTACGAGTAAATTTTTTTTTCATCATTATTACCATCGTGTAGAGCATCTCCTTATTAGTTGTAATCTAAATTTTCAAAAAAATATACCGAGTAGTTTTCAAGATATGATTTTTTGAAGTTATGGTTTGTTAATCAAGCATTGCTCCCTATAGGAGAAATGCATGCTAATCTTACTTAAAGTTGCATTTTTATAAAAGTATTTGTTTTAAAACTCTTCTTTTGCTTAAAAATGGTCGATTGCATCTTCTTTGTTCTAATTACAATAAGCAAAAACTGTTTGTTTACTTAAAACAAATAAAGAGTACCTGCTTACTAATTAAAGCAAATAAAGAGTTTTTGTTCTAAAAATGATCACTGATCATTGAGCAAAAAGGATCTAGAAGTTTAAAGCAGTAGCTTTAAATATAAGAACAAATCTTTTTCAAATTAAATGACTTTCCATTCAGATTCCAACTTGTTCACTTTGTTCTAGCTTTCTGAACTTTTTTTTTGAAAATGTTTTCAGCAAATGCTTTTTCATCAGTTTCTACTGATGTTGAATGCAATAAGTCAGTTGCTTCGTGTGCAACTCTTATCACAACAACTATTACCTACAAGCTAACTGAAGTTAATCGTAGAATGTACCAGCAAAATATCAGGTGACTTATTGCATTCAACATCACTCGAAAGTGATGAGAAAGCATTTGCTCAGAACATTTTCAAAAAAAGTTCAGAAAACTAGAACAAAGTGAACAAGTCGAAATCTGAATGAAACGTGATTTGATTTGAAAAACATTTGCCCTTATATTTAAGGCTCGTGCCTTAAACTTCTAGATCTTTTTTGCTCAATAATCAGTGGTCATTTTTACAACAAAAAAACTCTTTATTTGCTTTAATTAGTACGCAGGTACTATTTATTTGCTTTAAGTAAACAAACAGTTTTTGTTTATTCTAATTAGAACAAACAAGATGCAATTGATCATTTTTAAACAAAAGAAGAGCCTTAAAGCTAATACTTTTATAAAAATGCAATTTTAAGTAAGATTAACATGCATTTCTCCCATATGGAGCAATGCTTGATTAGCAAACCTTAACTTTAAAAAATCATATCTTGAAAACTACTTGGTATATTCTTTTGAAAATTTAGATTACAACTAATAAAGAGATGCTCTACACGATGGTAATAATAATGAAAAAAAATTTACTCGTAGGGTTTTTCTTAGATTATTTCGATTTACTTCGAACTTTTTCGAACACTGTTCGAAGAAAAGTTTGCCAAGATTTAATTTCAAATTTCATATCATCTTAAAGGGCAAAACCTTCCCTTTAGAATGGTTTTTATTTGAAGGTAATCGGCCTAATAGTTATTGAGTAATGATTTTTTAAAGTTAAAATATTTTAAATTCATTTAAATTAGAAAAAAATTAATTAGTTCAAAGTGTGGACTTTTTGAAATTTTTTTTAGTGCATTTGATTTGTCTCACTGAGACGAACAAAATGATATAAAATTTGTCAAGTTGTCACGACATGACTTTATTTTTGTCGCCTTGTGTTATCAGTAAAATATAGACTTCCCTTTTTAGAAAAGAGAAATTCTATATAATTAACAGTTTTAAAATAATTTCATTGTGAAAGTCTAGATTTTGATACAGTTGACGGTGTTCTTAAAAAAAAATGTGTAAAAAGTCTATTGAAATAAACTTTATTGAAGATGTTAGGATACCATTTATTGGCTCCAAAGAAAATTTATCAATGTTGCAACATTGCAAGTATCCTAGGATACAGAAAATGTCCAAGTAATATTCAATTATTGGAAACGGTAGCAACAAAAAAATCAATTTTCAATGTTTGTTCTGTGAAATTTGAACAATTAAAGTCAAAATGTCAAAGATTAGAACAATTAATTGAAATCATTAGATACCTTACAGTTTTTTATTTAATGCGGGTGACTAGATACAAAAAATACCTGGGTGAAATAGTTTTTTAGTAAAAGAAAATTGTGTAATATTGCCGCTTTGTGCTGTTAGACAAACTGTTTAAATTTTAAAAAGAATCTATTTAGACTATTTTTGGAATGATGGTCACAATGTTTCAATAAAAAAGGACTCGCCTGTTTCAATCGTGGGCGCCTTTTTTTTTCATCACCCTGTATTTTAAATCAAGTTTAAATAAAACAGCATCGATTTTGGTGACTTTTCGACGTCGATGGCGGTTTTAGCAAGATGTGTGCTCAAGAAAGGAGACGTAATTCAATAACGACTCCACATACCGTTCGATCATTCCACTCGAAATGCACTCACGACATGTACAAACATGTCGACTGATAAAATATTCCGTTTCAGGCGGGGTTTCAGACGACTCAAGATATTCGAAACTGAGTCCATTTGGGCAAATTCCACCGAAATGTCATCGATTTTTCATGAAAACCTGAAAAAATTAACACCCGTTTACAGTTCGTTCCAATCGCCATAAATTTGTCGTCTCATCTTTATTGCATCGAAGATCTAAGCACGAGTAAATTTTTTCACGCCGCATTTATCACGATTATGTCAAAGACGAGACGAAGCTTTGAACATAATTCACTTTTGCACAATGGCGAATTTCCTCGATTTTGAATCCCTGTTTGTTTTTCCTGTAGATATTTTTAATGAAATGAAGCGTTCGAATGGACATTTGTTTAAGTGAATTTGCATAATTGCCGTCAAAATTCATCAAGTTGGCACAAACAAACCCTTTTCACTGTTTACACTGCATCAAACATTCATTTATGGTTGAAAAACAAGTTGGCCGCAATTAAACATCTTATTTAAAGTGCTTGAAAGTTTCAGATATTTTCAGGTGAAGGCAATTTCGGTTCTAAGCGAGTTAGACAAGTTTCCAGCATTGTGGCCTCGTATCGAACCCAATTAGTAGTCGAGTGTTCTATTGTTGGAATCGCGTTGAATAGATTTATTTCAGGAGTTTTCGGAACACTTTTAAACGTGGCAAAGGGGAAACATGACACGAGTTGTGGTGGCCGCCGTATTGACCTCTGACCTAAACAAACAGGGCTAAAAGTCAAAACTGCCCAAGAAACATTAAGTTTTGCCACCAGCTGAAAAAAAGTTTTCTACGAAAAAACTTATAATGTCAGCAAAATCAGTGAAATATAACAATTTTAAATTATTCTCGTCAATAATTGAGCAACAGGACTTGAATTAGTGACTCAGATCACATTTAAAATTAATAGCCTTGCTAATGATTCTGCAATTTGGCAGTAAATTTCATACAAGAGTCAAGTTTCAAACTAAAGATTCTGTCCTTTGTTTAACCAAGAAACTAAAATAATTTTAAACTTAAAACAAATCTCAACACCTATTTTAATGACTTATAATCATCTATCCTTTGTTTAACCAAGAAACTAGAATCAAATAAACAATAATTACACTTCAAAAAAAAGTAAAACAATCTTGCTGTTTTTCAAGTTTTCAGAAAATTTTTATTATCTAAGAGTACTATAATGACTTTTGATTGGATAATATTAAAATTTCAAACAACATTTTTTGCAAATTTTTTTCGAAAAATTTTGATACAATTCCGAGAAGTTTAAAAGTGATTTGTGGTGTTATTATTGGTTGCAGAAACTTTAACCAAACATCAGTTTGTTCAGCAAAGGGTTCTGTATTAGAATCATTACCTGGGTTTAAAATTTATTCTTCTCAGTGACCTTGAAACTGATTTGAATCACTAAACGTTGTAACTAATTCAACCATATTTTAAACGTGATTAGCGGCGTTGCTAATGATTATACAAATTTGAAACAAAAACAAATCGATTTTTCACCAAACTTTACACAAAAATCAAGTTTTAGATTAAAGATTCTGTCCTTTGTTGAGCCGAGAAACTAATTTAAAACTAAACTTAAAAAAAAGTAAAACAATCTGAGTAAGCCGCTTTTGAATATTGAAATTTCAAATTAAATTTTTTTTTTGATTTGATTGGGAAAAGTTTAAAAGTGATCTGTGGTGTTATTATAAGTCGCAGAAAACTAATAATGTCTGCAAAATCAATGAAATATAACAATTTTAAATTGTTTCCTTTAATACTTGAACAATACGACTTGAATTAGTGACTCAGATCACATTGAAATTTTTTTTTTTAATTTTGATTGGCTTCTCAAGAGTTCAAAAGTGATTTGTGGCGTTTCTATTGGTCGTAGAAATTTCAAATAAACACCAGTCGAATTACTGAAAAATTTTAAACAATAAAACAGTCATTGACTTGGCACTTTTATTGTTTTTGTGACCTTGAATTTTATTTGAATCACTAAACATTGAAATTGATATAATTTAATTTTAAAAGTGACTTATAGTGTTACTAATGATTAAACATATCTGAAACTGAAACAAAAACTACTTGATTTGTCTTTAAATTTTACATATATTTGCAGCTTTCGCCTTTTGTTTGGTCTTGAAGCTGGATCAAATTTCCGAAAACAAAACAATTTTTTTGAAAATTTTGGTAAAATTTGGAAATGTTTAAAAGTAATTTGTAGAATTGTTATTATTACAGAAACTTGCAATAAACTTGCACTATTTGATTCATCAGGAAAATTGTATTAATAGCTGTAATTGATTTGATAATTGTATGTTTACCGTGACCTTGAAATCGATCTAAATCTTTTTTATCTAATGTATATTTGTGAAGCTAAACCATTAGTTTAAAAAAATGTTTTTTTATTAAAAAAAAACAATATCAAATAGCTTAATTTTATAAAAAATGATTTGATAAAAATGGTGGATGCGCCGGGATAGCAAATAATTTATTCTAATTTTTTTAAATTTGGTTTGATTTAAAAATTTAAAAATAATTTTCGACGTTGTTATTGCTTGTGGAAACTTGAAACAAACACTAATCAATTCCGCCGAAAATTCTCTACAAGAATTCATCAACTTTCTGGTAATTTTGTTTAGTACATGGTTGCCATATGTAGCAAAAGTCCCAAAAATTAATGAATTTTACTACAAACGTATCGCTTTGCTTTTCAAGCAACAATTGCCGCCAGTAGGCGTATTTTAATCAGTGTTGCCATCACAGTAAATAAAATAACCCCGGTTTATCACCCTTCACCCATTATTTTTTATTTGCTCGTCTCCAAATGGTAGATTATTTACCCCTCGGTGTGATTCCTCCTCGTTTTAATCGTCCACCAAGTCCTACCTTTCGCTTTTTTGTGTTGTGTTTTTTCGCCTTGTCAGTCGTACCTTGGCATTTTTTCACCAGTGACATTCCAGCGTCATTTCAGGCGATTAATTAATGTTTCAGCGGTGAAAAACCGACACATTTATCGATCACCTTTTCAGTTTTTCACCACAACACACGTGACTTTAACACAATTGAAAATGTGTTTTTTGGGAGATTTTCAGCGCGTTTTCAGCGTTGAAACGAGCACGGAGTCTCGCCGCCGCTCTGAAACACACTGGCGGTGGCGGCGGCGGCGGCAGAGATGGGGCGGGGGGCAATTTTGACGCATGCAGACGCCACCCCTTTCAGGTTGCGTGAAACGAATGCCGCTGACTCACATTTGCTATGATGGCCGATAGAGGGATAGAGGGTTAATCAATAAGCGGAAAAATCGATTTTTCATATTCAATTCCAACTTAAAATAAAACCGAATCGATAAAAAAACAAAAAGAAAAGTGTGAATAAAAGTATAAATTTATCAAATTATAATGGATTTCCATGTAAAATGATTACAAGTAGTTTACACAAAATTAAATTAATTTCAACTTTTTTGTAATCAGAATTATTATTTACAAATTACACAATTCCAAATAAAAAAACAAATTTTATAGTATATTTAGTGTAATTACAATATATTTACAAAATAGCATAACTTATAAATCAACATTTCTATTTAAAATAATATTTCATTTTAATTACAATCTTAAAAATGCAATTACAATTATACAAAATTACAAAGAAACAAACTACATTTAAAAAAAATGCAATTACGTGTTGGTTTACAAAAAGATTACAATGTAATTACACAAGTTCTAAATTTATTGTAATTAAAAAAAAAATCTTACACTTGAGCAAAACTTGCAGAAATTCGCTATCAGCACTTTGAAATAGTTGTAATATTGAATGGCCAACTTCGACTTAACTGTTTTCGGTAAATATTAACTGAAAGAAAAGTTTCAACTGAAAACAGAGTCGTAAAAAATAATTTTATTTTTATGAATTATAACCCACCTTGACTCGCTTATTTTTAGCATCACATCGATCCTTTTTAAATAAATGATCGCGTTTTAATCACTAAGATTTTTTTAAATCGATTTCAATATTTTAATGTCAGTTTTTTTTATTGAATGGGTGTTAAATTTGGGGACGCGCTTGCGTCCCACTTCCGGTTCATATAGCGCCAATTATTCCGCAATCTTTTTTCTTCAACCGGAAACGATCGATTTTTCGCACAAATTTGATTTATTTTTGCGAATTTGTGACGATTTGGGAATGATTGTTTGGGGAATCGACTCAATTAACCGTCCAATAGCACGAGCAATTGAATACAGCTAATGGAAATCAATACACATGGGTAAATATTTATCAGTTTGTTAATAATAGGGAGCAGTTTTGGTCACAGTAGGCGGTGCAAAAGGTTAAAAAAACATGAAAATAATAATGTTTTGTTATTTTGATACATAATTTTACTATTAGCTCATTTTTGAACCCAAAAACTGCAAAATCAAAATTTTTGAAAAATTGTGATTCAGATTCAAAAAAGTTTAAATGCTATTTGTGACATTGATACTCGCCGTGGACAGTCGAAACAAGCACCAACCGATTCAGTGATGAATTCTGTTTCAAAATCACTCAAAATTCCCCAACATTGTTTTGAAACAATTACACGAAACTGTAAAATTGCCCATCTTGTAACCGATTTACTTCAAAAAGTTTAAACTTGATTTGTGGTTTTACTATCGGCAATAAAGACCTGAAACAAACACAAAAATATTAATGTCTAATCATTTTAATACATATTTTTACAATTAGCTGATTTTTGAACCCAAAAACTGCAAAATCAATATTTTTCAAAAATTGTGATTTAGATTAAAAAAAGTTTAAATGTGATTTGTGACACTAATACTCGCCGTAGACACTCGAAACAAGCACCAATCGATTCAGTGGAAAATTCTGTTTTAAAATCACTCAAAATTCCTCAACATTGTTTTGAAACAATTACAGGAAACTGTAAAATTGCCCATTAACGGATTGATTCGAAAAAGTTTAAACTTGATTTGTGGTTTTACTATTAACAGTAAAGACTCGAAACAAACGCCAATTGGGTATTTTGATTCTATTTTTTTATAGTTTCAAATGTTTCATTTTTCACTTGTCAGCAAAACGATTTTTTTTATTTAACAATTAAAAAAGCTATCCCAACAAAAGCAACTATAAATCACTCCTACAATGAAATAGACCATCCTTTGTTCTTCCTTTCTCTTGACATTGAATGATACAGTTAAGTCACGTTCACACGTTTTGTTTGTAAAAAAACTAAAACTTCCCAAACACGCTTTCAAATAAGCCCAATCGTGCTTGAAAAATGATTGATTGCGATGGAACTCGAATAAAATTTAAACTGGAGTTTGATTGATTGATAAGGAATTAAAATCTGCTTGATAAGAAATTGAAATGAAACGACAAGTAAAAAAAAGCGAAATTTTATTTACAGTTTGAGTAGTTACACTGGTTTTTCTTGTGGGAGTTGGTAGGCTATTAAATATCCCACAACCAACACGACGATAATTGCCACTAGAATAATAAAAAATCCCCAAAGGAGTTCTCGGACTGTCCAGTAGTCTTCTTTGACAGGTTCTGGTATATCTGGGACTTCTTTTGTTTCCATTTCTATATTGCTGTGACCACGATATGTCATTGTCTTCACAAGTCGAACAATAAAATAAATCACAAATTGTGACTTATCTTATCTCTTATCAAAGGAATTTAAAAAGGAAATAATCACTTACACAGATAAATATTATTAATAAAAATTAATTGACATTGACCCGTTTGGTTCAAAATGAACTGAGGTGTCCAAATCTGCAGGAATTATTCGACTGTGATTAGAGATGGACAAATTTTTAATGGCTTATTGAAAAAATTAAAAATTTCGGGTATTTAGAATTTTTCTTATGTAAAGTGATGCAGGAAATTCAAATTCAAGAGTATTATTAAGCTGCAGTATTAGATGTAATCAAAAACTTTCATTATTAATTAAAAAATATGAAACATTTTTTTTAAAACAAATGTTTTTTATATAAAATGAGACGAGGAATTTAAATCCGTAAGATTTTTTAAGACAGAATTACTAGTTTAAAAAAATAATAACAAATGTTTGGTTTTTGATTGTAAATCTAGCAAGCTGTAAGATTTTCCATATTTTCTAAAAAACCGCAATACACAAAGGAACTAAAATACGCCTATGTTATGTAAAATGCACTGAGGAATTCAAATCTTTCAGAAAAAAATCACCTAAATTGCCTAGTTTTAGAGATATAGGGTTTTAATGTTGAAAGATTTTTTTCAAAACAAATAAAGAAAGAGAAAAGAACACTTTTCTAGACTGATAAAGCATTTATTAATCCAACAATGAAAAAGGTTATTATAAAAATACTCTCCTAATTACAATGAGCATCACCCTCCGCACCCCCTCTCCTCCTGAAAACACAAAACACATCGAAACATCGAAGGTTGCAAGGGCCGAGTGTTTGCAGGAAATCGTGCTTGAAAAATCGACAAAAGACAAAAATTACTTCCGGTCACTTCCGTTCGACTCCATTGACGTCGTCATTTCAGTACTCGGTGATTTCACCACTTCACAATCGGGACTTTTCGTAAACATGAACGAATTGCGCCGAAAACCGGCTTGGTTTTCGACGATACTGACGAGGACTTCGGTGGAACTCCCGATTGCCATTGCAGGGACACTGGCGAGGCCTATTTCGGCCTCGGTGGACTTCATAGGACTCGAATCGGGCTTGGAGGAGATCTCGCGAGGCTCAGATCGCGATTCCCGATCGAAATTCGGGAGATATTTGGGCTGGAGGGGGAGCATGTCGACGCTACCGGTCGTGGCGGGGCGCGGCTGCAGCGGGAGGGTTGACACAGGCTCACTCCCTGCAAAAATACAGGAAACTGGAATCTCGATTCAAATCAGTTTGAAAGTTATTCGTCAAAGAAGAATCAAATTACAGGAATCTGTAAAATTACTTTTTGCCCAATCTGAGTAATTAAGCAAAAACGATAAAAATCGTATAGATTTAATGTCTAGAAACAATTTTTCGTAAAAATTCTAACAATGCCGTTGCTATAACTACCAGGAATCACTTTTAAAGTTTTAAAAAGTGATTCAAAAAAGTTTAAAAGTGATTTGTGACGTTTCTAATGATCATAGAAACGTGAAACACACACTAATAAATTCAACACCACCAAATTTTGTTCCAATATCAACCAATCAACAATCAGTTTGAAAGTTAATTGTGGTGGCGCCATTGATCAAAGAAAAATCAAATTACAGGAATCTGTAAAATTACTTTTTGTCCAACTTAAGTAATTAAGCAAAAACGATAAAAATCTTATAGATTTAGTGTCTATAAACGTATTTTTGTAAAAATTCGAACACTGTCGTTACTATAACTACCAGGAAATACTTTTAAATTTTTTTTAAAGTGAATCCAAAAAGTTTAAACGTGATTTGTGACGTTATTAATGATCGTAGAAACGTGAAACAAAGACTAATCGATTCGATATCAAATTTTGCTCCAATATTAACTAACTCCTTAACCAGTTACTTTGAAACTGCTACAGAAAATTGTAAAATATTATAACTTAAAAATTATTGATTGGAAAATGTTTAAACGTGATTTATGGCGTTAGTTTTAGTCGTAGAGACTTGAAATAAAAACCAATGAATTCGGCGGTAAATTAGTTGAATTAGTAACTTAGTTGAAAAAAATAAGTCAAAACTTGATAAAATTTTGTCAATCTTTACTTTGTTAAGTCATTTATAAATAATTTAGTTATTAAGTAACTGTGTTTTTACTTTGTTTTAAACTTAATCAAATAAAAAATCTCGACGCATCCACCATTTTACGTATTTAGGTATAATTAGGTATCATACCCTTAATTTTTGTTTATTGTCTATTCAAAATGTACTACACAACTTTTCAGCATTTTACCTACAAATCTCCTTTAAGGCAAAGTAAACAAAAAGAATTTTGTTCCAACAACATTTTTTGCGTTATCCATTATGGAAATAATTTCATAAATATTTACAAAGCAAATAAGGATGAATTTCACATCACAACCGGAAATCCCGGAGGAATCGGGGAGTTATTTCCAGCGTTATTATTATTATCATCTTTTGCCAAATTAAATTTCGCATTTTAAAAAAATAATCAAACTAAGAAAGAAACGCAAAAATGGAGAAAACTGTTTTTTAATTTAAAAAACAAAAATAAAATCTCACTATCGCAGTACTCCCAACTTAAAAAATTGCAATTTTTTTATGATAAAATTTGTTGAAAAAAATATTCAAAAACAATTCTGATTGTAGGAAAAATAGTTGATCCTTCAATGTTATTAAGCGTAGTAAGAAAAACTATTTTTTGTTTTTGTATTAAAAAAGGGAAAATTATTTTAGATTAAATTAATTCTCTAAAAATAATCCTAATTTTTTTTCTCATTTTTATTAAAGTATTGATGATCGTAGAAAAGTAAATCAAACAGTAGACGATTTGACATCAAATTTTGTTCCAATATCAACTAATTTCTTAACCAGTTACTTTGAAACAACTACAGAAAATTGTAAAATATTATAACTTAAATATGATTGATTCGAAAATGTTTAAACGAGATTTTTAGCGTTAGTTTTGGTCGTAGAGACTTGAAACAAAAACTAGTCAATTCGGCGGTAAATTTTGCGTCAAAGTCAGTTACCAGTTTGCTTATTGCCCCATTAACTTAGTTGCAAAAATAAGTCAAAACTTGAAAAATTTAAACTTTTCTAAAAGAGATTCAGATTTGATTTGTGACGTTATTATTGATTCTAGAAACATGAAACAAAGACCAGTCACTTCAGTTGCAATTTCCCTTCCAGAATCATTCATCTTTTGTTAAAATTACTTAGTTACAATTACAGGAAACTGTTTAGTGTTTATTGATCCAACATATTTCAAACTTGTTTTATAGATCGTAACGACGTGAAACAAAAACCAATCGATTTGGTTAATTGCGTTACAGGAACCTGTAAAATCGTATACCTTGAAAGTTGTAGGGTCCATTGTGATGCAAGACTGCTATGCTAGGGACCGAAGGGCCTTGAAGAGCCAAACTGATGACATTGACTCCGTTTACGTTTCCTGCAAGAGTTTAGTTTGCAGAAAATGCCACTAGAGGTCGGCAATTTTACCTAATTTGGCGCCACCGAAAGCATCTTTGAATACGGCCGGATGATGATGTTTGATTGCGTTCATTCGTCGATTTGTTGCTGTTTCGACTTTTTTTCGTCGAGGTTGTTCGACGGGAAGGACTCTTCTGCGTTTTTTCGGGAGTTTGGAACGAGCCTAAAAGGATTAGGAAAAAATGTGTTTTGAGATTTAAAAATGCGAGTTATCTTTGTTGTTAAGCCTGGCACAGGTGTATTTTTTTTTTAATGTAAAGCTTTATTGATTGTTTTAAATTCGTAGTAATCCCGAGCTGGAATTGAATCGTTTCGACTCAAATAACACAGATCAAAATTTAATTATTTTTTTGGCCCCCTTACCTGTGTGTGTGAGTAGAACATGGAAAAGTTGGAAACGATGACCGGAACCGGAAGTGCAATGGTCAAGACTCCGGCGAGGGCACAGAGGGCCCCCACGAACATCCCAGCGTAGGTTTTGGGGACCATATCCCCGTACCCCACTGTAGTCATGGTAACAATAGCCCACCATAGCCCCTCCGGGATGCTTTTGAAATTGTTTTTGGGATTCTCCTAAAACCGGGAATGACTCACAACATCAAGCTCCAAATCCCTCACCTCCAGTTTTTCAGCGTAGAAAATCAGACTGGCAAAAACGACAATCCCCAAAACGAGGAAAAACACCAATAATCCCAACTCTTTAGCCGACGCTTTGAACGTATGGATGAGGATTTTCAGGCCTGGATAGTGACGTGTGAGTTTGAAAAGTCGGAAAATTCGGATGATGCTGAAAAAGTCCAATATTTGCGACTTTTTCTCAAAGATGAGGATCATGTCGACGTAGAAACTCAAAGTGGCGGAGAAGTCGATGATGTTGACGGGAGATTTCACGAATTCGATCACGTTGGGGGCCACCTGAAACGGGGTTTGGGCCAAATGCACCAGTTTTCAACTGAAATTGCGTTATGCAATTAAAAGTGCAAAAATGGTGGATGCGCCGGGTGAAATTAATCCCATTCTACCTCAAAAAACTAAAAAAAGTGTTTTTTTTAATTAATACTAATGACAACAACAAAAGCAACTCTGCTTTAAAAAAATATTTTAATTTTACGTAAAATGCGTTTCCAATTGCTGTGAATTGAATAATCCTTCGATAGTAGTTACTAGGCAACAGCAAAGAGAGTCATTGCTGCTTATACAAATAAATTCGTTGCTAGGCAATTAAACATAGTGTTTTTTTCCGTGCCAACTTGACAATTCAGTGCAATTCCAAACAGATACTAAAGGGTTTTTGGACAAAGCAGAAAATAATAAAAATGGTGGATGCGCCGGTCTAAGTTTTTATCATCTTTTTTTTTTTATTTAATGATGTTTGAGTGCAAAAGCTTTGATATTAAAAATGAATTCGTGCAAAAATGCGTTAGTTTTCGAACAACTTTTCTTTCATAACTGTAATTGGAGTTTTTCCCCCAGTCAAACAAATGTAAAAATAACACTCAATTCCCGTCTTTATTTACTCACCCATCCGTCGATTAATTATTTATTTAGGCAAGCACTCGACAAACCCCATTGTGTCTTTCTCTCTCTTTTGGCTTCTTCTTTCTCTTATCCAGCCAAAAGCCGAATTTAATCTAAATTGTTTGTATTCATCATAATATCTCGTGTATAACCAAAGGCTAACAACTATGTTAATTAATTTAAATTTTGCTCGTTAATTAATCAAAGTTGAAGGTCGACCGACGTGACGCGAACGTTTGTCAAATGCAGATAACGTTGAAACGGGAAAATTGCGTCAATTTTAGATAAGAAAACGAGAATTTTGCACGATCAAAGCAGGCTTTGCACAGGTGTTTAATTAAATTACGAGTGATTTATGTGACGATTGGTCGAGGAGAAACTAAATCACAAGGATAACAGCCCCGACAGCCTTTGTGAAACAACAAGATTTATTATTAATATTATGATTACCACATTTCAAAAAAATAAAACTATTGTGATACGATATTATTTTGAAAGACATTTTTTATACAGAACTCGCACCACAGATCAATAATTTACCAAAACATTTAAACAAAGAATTTATTTTTACTTACATAACAAAATAGTAAAACTTTTAAATCTATAAATCCCAGAAGGGTAGCTCGAGGTATTTTTACTAAATTATATCGGATGTTAAGTTTCAAAAATAATACCAAAAAAAAAATTTGGGAATTTGATAGCGTGGAATCTACATGAAAACGAGCGGCAAAGCCGCGAGCCCCCTACAATTACCACAAAACAAATTCAAATTGACCACCGTTTCTAGTTTTATTTCTAATTATTAATCTTTATTTTGTTAAATAATTTATAAATATTTTAGTTATTAAGTAACTGTGTTTTTATATTGTTTCAAATTTAATCAAATAAAAATCCCGGTGCATCCACCATTTACGTACTTAGGTATCTTTAGGTATCAGTATTTTGAATTTTTGTTTATTGTCTATTCAAAATGTACTACACAAATTTTCAACATTTTACCTACAAATCTCCTTTAAGGCAAAGTAAACAAAAAAAATTTTGTTCCAACATTTTTTGCATTATCCATTATGGAAATAATTTCATAAATATTTACAAAGCAAATAAGGATGAATTTTACATCACAACCAGAAATCCCGGAGGAATCGGGGAGTTATTTCCAGCGTTATTATTATTATCTTCTTTTGCCAAATTAGATTTCTTATTTTAAAAAAATAATCAAATAAAGTAAGAAACGCAAAAATGGAGAAAACCGTTTTTTAATTTAAAGAAATAAAAATAAAATCTCATTGTCGCAGTACTCCCAACTTAAAAATTGCAATTTTTTTTATAATAAAAATTGTTACAATGCTATCAAGCGTAGTAAGAAAAAACATTTTTTTATTTTAGTTTAAAAAAGAATTATTTTAGATTAAATTACGAGTAATTCTCTAAAAATTATCCTTTTTTAATAAAACATTTTTTTAATCCTTTTTTATAAAACGTTTCTCATTTTTTATTAAAGTAAGAAGAAAAAATGTATTTTCTGCTGGTAAGTCAATCAGGATTTGATGTCATTTGCAATTTATTAATTTTGTAGTTTTTTTTTTAACTACAAACTGTCATAAAATATCAAAATTTAATTAAAAATTTGGCAAATAATAACTCGGTAATTAATCATCACAAAATAGAAAATTTTCTGTTTTTAGAGAGAAAATAAACAGAGCTACTCAGAAAACTCAAAACCTTCATTTTTCAGCGTAAAATTGTCTCCGAATTACAAATTTTGAACTGATTTTTGAATAATCGATTTATTAAGATTAAAGATTTTCAGCTGAAATGTCATTTGCAATTTATTAATTTTGTAGTTTAAAAAAAACCTTCATAAAAAATTAAAATTTGATAATAAAAAATGTCATAATTTTGACAAATAATAACTCAAGACTCAAAACCCTCATTTATCAACGCAAAATTGTCGAAAAAATCAAAATCCTAGTTTTGAACTGAATTGAAATTGAAATTGAAATAATCGATTTATTAAATTAAGTTAAATAATTATAATAATGCATATGTAACAGAAAAAACTAAATATGATGAGTTTCTAGTTTCTAAAAAATGCCTATTTTAGCAAATAACTCGTGATTAAGCGTCACAAAACAGAAATTTTTCTGTTTTTAGTAGAAAAAATGTAATTTCTCCTGGTAAGGATTAAAGATTTTCAGCTGAAATGTCATTTGCAATTTATTAATTTTGTAGTTTTAAAAAAACCCTCATAAAATATTAAAATTTAATAATAAAAACTGTCATAATTTTGGCAAATAATTACTCGGTAATTAATCGTCACAAAACAAAATTTTTTTTGTTTTTAGAGAGAAAATAAACAGAGCTACTCAGAAAACTCAAAAACCTCATTTTTCAACGCAAAATTGTCGAAAAAATCCAAATCCTAGTTTTGAACTGAATTGAAATTGAAATAATCGATTTATTAAATTAAGTTAATTAATTATAGTAATGCAGTATGTAACAAAAAAAAACTAAATATGATGAGTTGATGAGTTTCTGGTTTTTAAAAAATGCCTATTTTAGCAAATAACTCGGTGATTAACCGTCACAAAACAGAAAATTTTCTGTTTTTAGTAGAAAAAATGTAATTTCTCTTGGTAAGTTAATCAGGATTAAAGATATTCAACTGAAATGTAATTTGCAATTTATTAATTTTGTAGTTTAAAAAAACTGTCATAAAATATCAAAATTTAATAGAAAAAATAAAATTCTTTTTTCTCATTTTTTATTAGTAGACAAATAAATAGATTTCATCTGGTACGTCGAGAGGATTAAAAATTGTCAGCTGTAAAATTATTTGTAATTTTGTAAAAAGTAAAATTTTGAAATTCTTAATAAAACTTTCTACCTAAAAAATTGCTTTTTTCCCATTTTGAGTTTGTGGTATTTATCGATCGTTGACACAATGAAACGTGTTTTGAATAGCCAACTGCGATTTGTATGCGTCGTAAAGTGGCTGTTTGAGAAACTTGTCTTGCACAAGTCATTGTTGCAGTTTGAAAGGAGTTGTGCTAATGGCAGTTTAAGTTCCAGTGTTGCCAATCAAAGTCACAAAATTACTAATTTTTAATGGCTGAAAAGTCGAAAAATCGTTTTACTTTCACGTTATTTGTGATGTCAGTTTGCGTTTCGTCGTCAATTTCATCCAATCTCCGTGATAGAATTTCAGTCATTTTATTGATTCAAGTGCGTTCCCACAGGCCGTGTTTTCCTGTAATCTAATATGTAAGGGAGTAATAACATAATCGGAGCGTCCCGAAACTTTATTACGGTTATCTCTCCCTAAATTCGTCTCTTGTGTTTTTTGGAAATTTACTCACGATGAGTCTGACGACGAACTCGAATGTGAACCAGGCGTTGCAGATATGTTCAACGGTGAGAAAATTCGGGTGAGGATCGGTGCAATTGACGTCTTCGGTGATGTTTTTCCGGATTTGGTCGCAGTCGACGCGGAATCCGTGGTGGGTTTTCAGACAAAAGCACAACACTGAAGCGCAAATGAAGAAAATTGAGGCTCCGGCGACGATCTGAAAAAGTCCGGGTTTGGGGAAAAACGAGCTGAAAAGTCGCAATGCATGCGGAATTGCGTTAGATTTCTAATTAAAACGGCTAACGAGGGACGTGATATAGTGGGAGAAACGAAAGCAAATTGAGTGTGACGCTTTGATGCGACCATAACGGAGTTTATGTCTTGTGCTTTGCACTTGTTGGCTGCCCCGAGGCCTCTGAATTAAATATACAACAATGGAATTACAGAGAGGGAGCGGCTGAAAATTGGACGAAATTTTAAAAATTCATCCTTGGCTTTGGAAAATTGGCGAAGAAAAGCATTCCGGGCCCAGTTTTACCGAATAACCGAAAAAAATGGACTCAAAATTGAGAAAATCTTCCTGTTTCATAGAAAATTGATCAGTTTTGTGTTGTGAATTAAATTTTCAAAGAAAAACGCTTTTGGATTTTAAGAGTTTTAATTTTCAAATTTTTATATAAAATATATAATTTTCAAGTTATTAACCAATTTATCGTCGACATTCCATGCAAATATCCCAAGGATGAATTTAAGACAATTTTCGCTAATCCAAGAAGACTCAAAAACAGTACCTATTTTTCAACATAAAATTCTCTAAGAAATCCGAATCCGAATCTCGAAGTGATAGCTTCTGAATAATCGACTTATTAAAAATTACATAATTGATTAATGTATAAAATAAGAACCAAAAAAATTAGTTTCTTGTTTAAAAAAAAAAAGCGTTTTTTGGCAATTAACTCGGTGATTAAGCGAAAATGGACTCAAAATTGAGAAAATCTTCCTATTTCATATTAAATGGATCAGTTTAGTGTTGTGAATTAAATTTTCAAAAAAAAAAAAAAACGCTTTTGAATTTGAAGAGTTTTAATTTTCAAATATTTGCAAAAAAATAATGATTTTTTTTGTCTAACATTGTAAGAAAATCATACATTTATCGGTAACTAAGCGTCACAAAACAGAAAATTTTCTGTTACTAGAGAGAAAATAAAGAGAGCTTTTGATCGGTGTAAATCCTTATCAGTTACCTAAACACAAATTTTAAAAAAATGGGAAAAATAAAAAACTGAAAATTTTGAAATTAAAATATCTCATGATAAATAATTTTCAAGTTATCAACCAATTTTCCGTCGACATTCCGTGCAAATATCCCAAGAATGAATTTAAGACGATTTTCGCTAATCCAGGTATCCAAAAGACTCAAAAACAGTACCTATTTTTCAACATAAAATTGTCTAAGAAATCCGAATCCGAATCCGAATCTCGAAGTGATAGCTTTTGAATAATCTACTTGTTAAAAATTACATAATTGATTAATGTTTAAAATAAGTAGCAAAAAAGCGCTTTTTTGGCAATTAACTCGGTGATTAAAAATCACAAAACAGTTTTTTTTTTCGTTATTTGAGAGAAAATAAATAGAGCTATCCAACGATGTAAACTTTAATAAGCTTTGGTTAATAGTTCCGGAGTTATCAGCGAAAATTCATTGTGAATATCGACAAAAGAGAATTTTTAAAAAATCGGAAAAATAGAATACTAAAAATTGATGTTTCTAGACGTAAAATTCCATGAAAATTAGAATTTTATAAATTAAAATACTTCATGGAGAATAAATCTAAAACTGTTTTTGGCCAATCCACGACTCAGAAGCAATATTTTTTATTGTAAAGTTGGCTAAGAAATCCGAATCCAAATCTTGAAGTAATAGTTTTTGAATAATTGACTTAGTAAATTAATTAATTAATGTATGAAATACGAGTTAGAATCAAAAAAACTAAAGATGAGTTTTTAGTCCAAAAAGCGTCTATTTTGGCAAATAATAACTCGAAAATTTTCTGTTTTTAGAGCGAAAATAAACAGAGCTATTCAGTGGTGTAAACCATAATCAAACGAAAATTTCATATAAATCGGAAAAAAATCTAAAATCTCTTTAAATTGTTTTTTCTAGATGTAAAATTCTATGAAAATTAGGATTTTGTAAATACAAATACTTCATAATAATTAGTTTTCAAATTATCGACCAATTTTTTGTCAGCTTACTACGAGCAAAAATCCGGGGGATGAATTTAAGATTGTTTTTCGCTAATTCATATACCCAGAAGACTCACAAATCTCATTTTTCAACGTAAAATTGTCTAAGAAATCCTAATCCGAATCTCGAAGTGATAGCTTTTGAATAATTGACTTATTAAAAATTACATAATTGTTTAATTATACATTATAATAAGTAACAAAAAAATGAGTTTTTTGTTTTAAAAAAAGCACCTTTTTGGTTATTAACTTGGTAATTAAGCGTCGCAAAACAAATTTCTTTTTGTTATTAGTGAAAAAATAAATAGAGCTTTCCAGCGATGTAAAACTTAATTAGCAATGGTTAATAGTTCCGAAGTTATCGGCGGAAATCCATTGTGAATGTCGTCAAAATAAAAATTTAAAAAAATCGGAAAAATAAAAAGCAAAAAACTCCTCAAATTGATATATCCAGACGTAAAATTACATGAAACTTACGATTTGATAAACTAAAATACTTTAATCTAGGTATCCATCAGAGAGCTCAGAAACAGCATTTTTTGATGTAAAATTGTCTTAAGAAATCAGAATCTAAATTAAGACTGTTTTTCACTAATTCAGATACCCCGAATACTCAAAAACCACATTTTCCAACGCAAAATTGTCGAAAAAATCCGAATTACAATCTTGAACTGAGAGTTTTTGAATAATCGATTTATTAAATTAAGTTAATTAATTAAAATGTATGCAGTATGTAACAAAAAAAAAACCTAAATATGATGAGTTGATGAGTTTCTAGGTCCTAAAAAACGTCTATTTTAGCAAATAACTCGGTGATTGAGCGTTACAAAACAGAAAATTTTCTGTTTTTAAAGAGAAGATAAATAAAACTTTCCAACGATGTAGAGTTATCGGCGAAAATACATTGTCACTGTCATCAAACGTAAATTTTAAAAAAATCGGAAAAAAACCTGAAAGCTCTCCAAATTGGTTTTTCTAGATGTATAATTTTATGAAAATTACAATTTTCCAAATTAAGATACATTATGATAAATAGTTTTCAAATAATCGACCGATTTTTTGTCGGCCCATTCCGAACAAAAATCCGGGGATTGAATTTAAGACCATTTTTTGCTAATTCAGAGACCCAGAAAACTTAGAAACAGATTTTTTCAACGTAAAATTGTTTAAGAAATCTAAATCCAAATCTGGAAGTGACAGTTTTCGAATAATAGACACTTTTTTAATTAAATTAATTTATTAAAAATAGAAAATTTTTAAACGCTACTCTGTAACTTCACTCAATTTCCGGTTTTCGCTTTTAGTTAGAAAATCATTCTAAAGTGTTTCGCAATTTGTTTTGAAAGTTCCATTTATTGAGAAAAATCAGTTCAAACTCGTGACAACAGGCTTCCGAAAACTATGTCTTGTTTTATTTAAGAAATATTCCCGGAATCAACGATGTCGACAAAACCGCACAAATCTGTGTAGTTTACAAGTTTTTGACGAATTTAGACAACTCTACATTTGCCAGCATTCGTAATTTACCCGTCAATTAAGCTCAGTAGAAAATAAAACTTGCAAAATAGAAAAAAATACAGCTTTTTAACGGTGGCAAAACTAAAAGCTGCGACAAATTAACAGTTCCAAGGTTATAAAGCCCTGAAAAAATGACAAAAAGCTTCGCTACAAAGCTACAAAAGGTGCAAAAGCAGGCAAAATTAGTGCTTTCAGGCATGAAAAGTAGTAATGTTAATAAAAACGACAATCACATTTCGATGTTGGACGTTGATCGGCGGTACCTTAGCCGCGGACGAGGAATACGGTTCGTCGAAAAGCGCCCAAATTTTCGGTTTGAATTTTTGCCAAGTGGTCAAAGTCCCATTGAAATAAGCTTCCTCGTAGCCAAACATTCGGGCGACCTCTTCATCACTCGGTCTTTCTGTATCAATGTCGAGTTTATCCAAAATGGCGAGAGTCGCCTGAAACAATGAAAAAAGCGCGTTTTCAATGGACTTTTAAATTGCTTTTTCTGAAAGAGACTTGTTTATGAAAGCAGGAATGTAGAAACGTCCAACATTTCACTTGAAACTTATTTTAATTTGTAATAGAAAATAAAATGCATTGAGTGGGAGATAATTATGCGAGAAATTCGAGCTCGCAACTTGCTATCATTTTTCGTGCCATTAAAATTGAAAGGTCTCTCGTGTGCTCGCTATTATAATCTCGCAGGTAATCATATTAGCAGTGTTGCCAGCTCAAAACTATTAAATTTACAAGATCTGAGCAAAAAAGTTACCAGATTTACACTTATTTTTACCAGATTACAAAATTTTAATTTTTTTAATACCATCAAAGATTCACCATTTTTTTACATAAATTTCGTAGATCTGCTCAAAAACGTACTTAAATGCTCGTAAAATGCAAAAATTAGTAATGCTACTTTATTTAGTCTAATTCTATAGGTACTTATATGGACAGTTTTTAATTTAATTTTGGAAAATACCTATTAATGTTTGTGACAAAAAAATCAATTCACAACACTGAATTATTCGTAATCCTTATAAATTCATTATACAGGGTGCGCCAGAACTCGCGCCGCAGAGAAAAATGGTAAAAAAAACAGGTAAAATACAGGGACATGGAAAAAATGTTTAAAAAATGCTATCTATAAAAATTTCGAAGTTATGAGAGTTTAAATCTCCCTAAATAATTATCAAAAACAAATGATCATCAGTATGATTAAATAAATACATAAAAAAATGTCAAATGTCAAAAGTTTTTAACAGGTAGAATTTTTTAGACATTTTTCGATACTATCTTACTTAAAATTTTTCTCTGGGACGCGAGTTCTGACACAGTCTGTATATAAAAGTTTGACGTTTGAATGTGAAAGTAAAGGTTACCAAACTAAAATTTTAAATTTGATACAAACTTGAGATAAAAAATAACAATCATTTACAGTCACTCGATCTTTACGTTTTTACTTAAAAAACGTACTAAAACACTTGATAAAGACAAAAATAATAACTTGATTTGATGTTTTTTTGATTTGATTTAGCAAAATCTTGCAACTAACACCATTTTCGACCATATTTTGTTTTTTCGTCCTATTTTTTTGACAAAATTTTACCCAAAAAGAGCAAAATCGAATGAAACAAACGAAATAACACGAATTTGGATTTATTTTTGTTGTGTTTAAGCTTTAAGCATGATTTGACAATATCCTGCAAAATAAATGAGTCTCTGGTTCAAAAACGATTTAAAATAATATCAATTTCAATCTAATTTAGTAATTTTTCAATCACTTTTAGCAAAAATTTGAGTGTCTTATAATAATGTGCTGAAATACTCTAAAACTGCAAAAATAACACTAGTTTTGGCTTAATTTAATAAATTTTCGGTTTGTTTTTTACGAAATTTTGCAAAATAGTTTTGGCTAAAAACATACTAAAACGCTCAGAAATAGACAAAATAATGTATTTTTTGGCCCATTTTAGAAAATTTTTTACCTTGTTGAGTAAAATATCATTTAGAAAAACAAAAATATTTCTCGATTTATCAACTTGTTTTTGAGAAAATTTCGCATTTCAGTTTCTGCATGGCTCAAAAACGTGCAAAATGCTCAAAAAAAAAACAGAAAAAACGGTGTCATCATCATTGACTGAATTTACTGTTTTTTTTTTGGTTTGTTTTTGCAAAATCTTGCAACTAACACGATTTTCGACTATGTTTTGTATTTTTCGTCCTATTTTTTTGACAAAATTTTACTCAAAAAGAGCTACATCAAATGAAACAAACGAAATAACATCAGTTTAGATTTATTTTTGTTGTGTTTAAGCAAGATTTGACAATATCCTGCAAAATAAATGAGTCTTTGGTTCAAAAATGAACTAATTCGAGCGAAACACGCTAAAATGATTTCAATTTCAATCTAATTTGGTAGTTTTTCAGTTAGTTTAAAAAAAAAATTGAATGCATTATAATAATGTGCTGAAATACTCTAAAAATGCAAAAATAACACTAGTTTTGGCTTAAGTTAATTATTTATTCTATTTTGTAATAAAATAATTTATATTTAATAATAAATAATAAATTTAATAAATTTTTGGATTGTTTTTCAATAAATTTTGCAAAATACTTCGGGCTAAAAACATACTAAAACGCTCAGAAATGGACAAAATAATGTATTTTTTTACTCATTTTAGCAAATTTTTACCTTGTTGATTAAAATATCATTTAGAAAAACAAAACWATTTCTCGATTTTTCAACTTGTTTTTTAGAAAATTTTGCATTTCAGTTTCAGCATGGCTCAAAAACGTGCAAAATGCTCAAAAAAATCAAAAAAACAGTGTCATCATTATTGACTGAATTTACTGTTTTTTTTTTGCAAAACCTTACAACTAACACCATTTTCGACTATGTTTTGTATTTTTCGTCCTATTTTTTTGACAAAATTTTACTCAAAAAGAGCTACATCAAATGAAACAAACGAAATAACATCAATTTAGATTTATTTTTGTTGTGTTTAAGCAAGTTTTGACAATATCCTGCAAAATAAATGAGTCTTTGGTTCAAAAATTAACTAATTCGAGCGAAACGCGCTAAAATGATTCTAATTTGGTAATTTTTTAGTCAGTTTTAGCAAAAAATTGAATGTATGCTCAAACACTTTAAAAATGCAAAAATAACAACTAGGCTTAAGTCAATAAATTTTCGGTTTGTTTTTAACGCAATTTTGCAAAATAGTTTAGTTTCTGGTTAAAAACATACTAAAACGCTTATAAACGAACAAAATAATGACTTTTTGACCCACTTTAGCAAATTTTTATCTTGTTTAATAAAATATGATTTAGAAAAACAAAACTAACTTTCGATATTTCAACGTGTGTTTGAGAAAATTTAGCATGGCTAAAAAAACGTGCAAAATGCTTAAAAGAATACAAAAAAATAGTTTCATAATTTTTGACTGAATTCACTATATCAATAATTAAAAAAGTTAATTTTACTAAGATTTGGCAAAATACTCGATTTAAAAAATTAATTTAAAATACATTAATTTTCTGCTAGAGCTACAGTCACGTTTCTAAAAAATCATCAGAAATGAGAATTTTTTCAAAAGATTTCACCAAATCACTAAACCAGTGTTAAAATCACCAGACCTGGCAACACTGCATATTAGACAAGTCTCCGGCCCGAAACACACGATACAAATATAATTACGCGAGATAATGAAATTTGTTCGATTTGCGAGTACAGAGCCGGCTTCAGCCCTCACCTGGGTGTCCCTGTGGACACTGTACGTGCTCCAACAGCAGGGCTCGACTTGGTTCGAGTCCAACCCCCAAAACTCCAACTCCTCCTCGAACAAAGGGCCGCACACGTTGGTGGGGTAATGCAGCTTGCCGGTTCTGCAAATATTTATTAAACGAGTGATTTATGACTCAAATAAAACTCAAACCTGTAATAGTTGAGTATTTGTGCAAAAACGCCCGGATGTCGGTCGAAGAAATACTCATTGAGGATGGGATCGTAGTTGGCCAAGGCTTCGGTCAGCCGGGATAATCTAGTCGCCGGGATTTTTTTCAAGGTCGCTTTGTACGTCTCGTAGCGAATGCCGCCGACGTTGAGGATGATGCGATTTTCTCCATCCATAACATTTTGTGGTGGAAAAAATGAGAGAGTCAATTCATACGCCTGGAATATAGGCAACCGGTTAGGGGCGGAGTCTGTGTCGTGATTGGTGGATTTTGAATTAAGCGGGATTTCACCCAAGGGAGATTTATTCTCGTTTGAAACTTCTTTAAAGCCATTACAAAATTAGAAGTTGGGGATAGACACGTTTCCACGATATAAACTTCAAAGCATTGATTAATTCCGCACCATATAAAGTCGAGGTTTCATTAAAAAGACGACAGAGATGGATGATAAGGGACGTGTGGCGGGAATTAAGTCGGTACAGATGTTAATCCAGTTCTTTCATAAATCAAGCGAGAAATAAATTTAAAATTACTGTTTTATTATTGTGGGACTTATAGTTTTCAAGAAACATTAATACATTTTTCAATTTTGCAAATTGCAAATTCTTGATGTAAAATGCTCTAGGATGCATGGGGCCGACTTTTCATACTTTCAATGGGTACAAATTCAAAAACTTGATAAATTAATAGTCTTTAAAGAACACAAATGACATATAAAGTTTCTCCTCTATTTTTTTCTGATTTAAGTATTTAATATTTAGAACATTCAAAAACAATATAATTTTTTGTATAGTACAAAAGAAAAAAATAATAAAAAAGATGTAAAAATACAAAAGTGGTTAATGTATGTAAAAAATAAAAAATAAAATCGAAAAAAATTTCGAGAATAATTAAAAAAAAAAACTTTTCTTCAAATTTGCATGAATGTTCGTAAATTGAGGGCTAAAAACAGCTTGAGGGTATCAACTTTTAATTAATGCAATTAATTTGAGATGAGCAAAATTAGGTTATGCAAAAGCTGAATGATCTCAAAAATTAGTCAGGATTGTTTCTCGATTTTTTTACAAATTTTCAAAAATTTTAAAAAGTTTTTTTTTAATTGTTTTGAATAATTTTTTAAATTTAACATGCGAAATTGTAAAAAAAGTTGAAAACAA